CTGAATGACTACTGCATACATAACGAAATGAAGGCAGAAATAAAGATGTTCTTTGAAACCAATGAGAACAAAGACATAACATACCAGAATCTCTGAGACACATTTAAGCAGTGTGTAGAGGGAAATTTATAGCACTAAATGCCCACAAGACAAAGCAGGAAAGATCTAAAATTGATACCCTAACATCACAGTTAAAAGAACTAGAGAAGCAAGAGGAAACACATTCAAAAGCTAGCAGAAGGCAAGAAATGACGAAGATCAGAGCAGAACTGAAGGAGATAGAGACACCAAAAAAACCCTTCCAAAAATCAACGAATCCAGGAGCCGGTTTTTTGTAAAGATTGACAACATTGATATTAGCAAGACTAACAAAGAAGAAAAGAGAGAAGAATAAAATAGACGCAATAAAAAATGATAAAGGGCATATCACCAGCGATCACACAGAAATGCAAACTACCATCAGAGAATACTATAAACACCTCTACACAAATAAACTAGAAAATCTAGAAGATGTGGATAAATTCCTGGACACATACACCCTCCAAAGACTAAACCAGGAAGAAGTTGAATCCCTGAATAGACCAATAACAGACTCTGAAATTGAGGCAATAATTAATAGCCTACCAACCAAAAAAGGTCCAGGACCAGATGGATTTTCACAGCGGAATCTTTCCAGAGGTACAGGGAGAGGCTGTTACCCTTCTTCTGGACTATTCATCAATGAAAAAAAGAGGAATCCCTCCTAAACTCATTTTATGAGGCCGCATCTTCCTTGCTACCAAGCCTGGGCAGAGACACATAAAAAATGAAGAATTTTAGACCAACATTCTGATGAATTCAATGCGAAAATCTCAAGCAATACTGGCAATGAATGCCAGCAGAATCAAAACTAATCAGTGGGTTCTCTGGATCAAGCTTGTTCAGACAATAACACAAATCATAACGTACCAGATATACACGACAAAAGATGAAACACCTGATTATTTTTCCATAGATGCAGAAGAGGTTCCTTTGAAATTTCATGCTAAAAACTCTATGCTAAAACTTCCAATAAATTAGGTATTGATTGAACGTATCTTCAAAATAAAGGAAGCTATTTATTGACAACCCACAGCCAATATTCATCTGGAATGGGCAAAACTGGAAGGGCATTCCTGAAAAACTGGGCCAGACAGGGATGTCCCTCTCTCACTGCTCCTTTCTTATAGTGTTGGAAGTTCTGGGCTGGCCGGGCAATCAGGCAGGAGAAAGGGAATAAAGGGTATCAATAGGAAAAGAGGAAGTCAATGTCACCCTGTTTGGCAGATGACATGATTTATTATTAGAAAACCCCATCGTCTCAGGCCCATAAATCTTCCTTAAACTGATAAGCAACTTCGCAACGTCCTCAGGACACAATCGTGTGCAAAATTCACCAGCATTTCTTATACACCAATACGAGAAACACAGCCCAACTGGATGACTCATTCCAATTGTTCAAGTAAATAAAATACCTAGGACCACTTACAGAGATGTGAAAAGCCTTTTCCAAGGAGAACTACAACACTGGTCAAAATAGGAAGAGACACAACCAAAATGGAAGAACTTCCATGCTCATGGATAGGAAGGAATTCAATATCAGGGAAATGGCATATGCCCAAGTAATTATAGATTCAATTTGCCATCCCTCATCAGCTACCAATGACTTTCTTCACAGATTGGAAAAAAACTACTTAAGTTATATGGAATCCAAAAAAGAGCCTGGCATTGCCAACACCATCCTAAGCGCAAAAGACAAAGCTGGAGGGCCATCCGGCTTCCCTGACTCAACTTATACTCAAGCTACCAGTAAACCCAAACAGCATGGCATGGTACAAACGGATATAGACCAATGAACGACCAGGCCCTCGAAATAACACCAACTCACACCTCTGACTTGGGACCAAAACCTGACAAAACAAGGAATAGGTAAAGGGATTCCCTAGTTAATAAATGGTGCTGGGAAAACTGGGCTAGTCATCAGGATCCCTCCCTTTACATCTTATACAAAAATATCAAGGTGGATTAAGACTTAAATGTAGACCTAAAACCTAAAACCCTAGAAGAGAAACCTAAGGCACTTAGACATTCCCAGGACATAGCATGGGCAAGGACTTCAGTGTCTAAACACAGAAAGCAATGGCACACAAAACCAAAACTGACAAATGGGATCTAATTAAACTGAGAGCTTCTGCACAGCAAAAGAAACTACCATGAGGAGTAACAGCAACCTACAGAATGGGAGAAAATTTTTGCAATCTTTCATCTGACAAAGGGCTAATAATTCCAAATCTACAAAGACTCAAACAAATTTACAAGAAAAAACAACACCCATCCAAAAGTAGCAGGCAAAGGTATGAACAGACACTTCTCAAAAGAAGACATTATGCAGCCAACAGACAACATGAAAAATGCTCATCATTCTGGCCGTCAGAGAAATGCAAATCCAACCACATGAGATACATCTCACACCAGTTAGAATGGCCATCATTAAGTCAGAAAACAACAGTGCTGGAGAGGATGTGGAGAGTAGGAACACTTTACGCTGTTGGTGGGACTGTAAACTAGTTCCACCATTGTGGAAGACAGTGTGGCAATTCTTTCAAGGATCTGACTAGATGTACCATTTGACCCAGCCATCCATACTGGGTATATACCCAAGGATTATAAATCATGCTGCTATAAAGCACACGGCAACATATGTTATTGTGGCACTTCACAATAGCAAAGACTTGGAACCAACCCAAATGTCCAACAAGGATAGACTGGATTAAGAAAATGTGGCACATATACACCATGGAATACTATGTAGCCATAAAAAAGGATGAGTTCATGTCCTTTGTAGGGACATGGATGAAGCTGAAAACCATAATTCTCAGCAAACTAACACAAGAACAGAAAACTAAACACCGCATGTTCTCACTCATAGGTGGGAATTAACAATGAGAACACTTGGACACAGGAAGGGGAACATCACACACCGGGGCCTGTCATGGGGTGGGGAGAGTGGGGAGGGATAGCATTAGGAGATATACCTAATGTAAATGACGAGTTATTGGGTGCAGCACACCAACATGGCACATGTATTCACATGCAACAAACCTGCAAGTTTGTGCACATGTACCCTAGAACTTAAAGTGTATTAAATTTAAAAAAAAAAAAAAAGAAATTTACTTGTTTTAAAAAAATCCAAATCCTGGCATTGTCCAGAAAAATGTAACAAGTTTATTTATAATTATCATAAAGTTGAATTGCTGAAACTTGTTCACTGAAACATTTTGATTTGCATTAATGCTTTATGTTTCCACATTTATATTAAAAATTCACACACAAATAAAAATGGAAAAACTGCCAAAAAAAAATCAAGGAGACATTTTATTTACATTTACTGGTTAATTATAAGGAATACAAACAAACAGCCAGAAGAAGAGACACAAAGCGTGAGGTCCACAAGGGTCCTTTTTAAGAGACAGAGTCTCTGTCATCCAGGCTGGAGTGCAGCGGTGTGAGCATAGCTCACTACAGCCTCAAACTTCTGGGCTCAAGTGATCCTCATGCCCCAGCCTCCCGAGCAGCTAGGACTACCAGTGCATACCACCATATCCAGTTAGTTTTATTTTTTGCACAAATGGGGGTCTTGCTATGTTGCCTAGGCTGGTCTCAAACTCTTGGCCTCAAACTATCTTCCTGCCTCAGTTTTCCAGAGTACTTGGGTTATAAATGTGGGCCACTGCACCTGGCCCCCAATCTTGATGGGGAGCAGGTTTCTGCATGTGTGTCAACCCCAGCTCCTTGAGAGTGCGACCTGAAGTCCTTGGTCCCGGAGGCTCAGCAGGAAATATGACAGTGACTGCATAAGCTTGTGAGAACCTGTGGCCAGGCAGCAGCAGCCGTTTGGCCAGGGGTTGTCTCCTGCAGCCCTCCTGCCCAGCACCCGGGCCTGCTTGTATTCCCCCACACGCCCCCGCCATGCTCTCCCTCTTGTTGGTGAGTGTCACTCAAGCCTCTGCCTCAGAAAAGCCCTTCTGCAGCTTCCAAGTCAGACCAGCTCCTCCTCCAGGTGCAGGCCCAGCGATAGCTCTCCCTCGCCCCTCGCCAGCTTGCACAGGTGAATGCTTTCTGCATCCTGAAGGCATCTCGTTTGTGTCTTTTAATCTGGCTGTGCTACTGTTGGTGTTTAACAGTCTCCCCAGCTACACTGGAAGCTACCAGAAGGTACTTTTCACTTGCTCGTGTGTTTTTCCCAGTGTCTATTAGAGGCCTTTGCACAGGGTAGGCGCCAAATGGCTGTTGGGAGCAGCTGAAGGTCACACATCCCATGAGCGGGCAGCAGGGTCAGGAGTGGCCCCCGTGTTGCCTGAGCGAGACTCTCCCCTGCCCTCTGCCCTCCGCGCCTCCGGCCTGCATGTCCCCGTGGCCTCTTAGGGGCACATCCCGGGACTGGGTCAGCAGGCCTGGGCGGTTGGCCTTAAGCTGTCACACACCTAGGGAGATGCTCCTGTTTCTGGGAACCTTGGCCCCCACTCCTGCAAACTTCGGTAAATGTGTAACTTGACCCTGTACCGGCTCACTCTGTTCAGCAGTGAAACTGTGCATCGATCACTAAGACTTCCTGGAAGGGGTCCCAGCGTGAGTGTCCCTTCTGGCGTCTGTCTTTCTGGCCAGCCTGTGGTCTGGCCACATGATGTAACCCCCCTCCAGCCTGTGCACAGGCAGCCTGGGAACGGCTCCATCCCCACCCCTCAGATATAAATAGGGGCTCGTGACCCGGCCAGGGGAAGAAGCTGCCATTGTTCTGGGTACTACAGCAGAAGGTAAGCCGGGGGCCCCCTCAGCTCCTTCTCAGCCTTGTCCCTCTCAGACGTAACTGAGCTGTGGGCCGGGAGGAAAAGGCCGGGAGGGGCACTGGCGATGGCTGAAGCATCTCTCCCCTCCCATAAGACCAGTCATCTGGACGCAGGCTTTCCCCGCTCAGTGCCCACCCAGGGGTCTCCCAGGAGGAGCTGCTCCTCCTTAGCAATAGGACCAGATGGTCAGGTCTTCCTGCTTCGGCTGAGAAGAGTTAGGGTCCTCAGGGATGGGGCAGACTGGCACAGGAGCAGAGTCATCATGGTCCTCTTGCCATCAGGAGGAACAGCAGGGCTTATACAGGAAGTGGGGCCACAGGGAAGGGCTGGGCTCAGTCAGTCCCCAGCTGGGATCCCCAGAGTGGTCACCCTACCCCTCCCTTGAGACAGATTCCCTGACTGTGTCATCAGGCTGGTCACCATCTCTCTGAACCTCGATTTGCTCACCTATAAAATGGGACTAGTAACGATGCCTGGGCTCCCTCTCTCAGGGGCTGTGGTGCAGCTGAAGAGAACTAATACAAAATGAAAGTACTTTCTAAGGTTTGGGATAAGCTAAAAGGCAGATTCCAATTTCATTCAAGGGCAGCGTAGATTGGTGCTTAAACTTGTGGATGACAGAGTCAGAGGGCCTGGTTCTGAGTCCTAGTTCTGTCTCTTCCCAGCTGTGTGACTTTGCACAAGTCACTGGACCTCTTTGTTCCTCTGGAAAACAGCAGGAACCAATTCATTAACTACTTCTCCAGGATGCATTAGGTCCCGGGGACTGTCCTGGGAATGTGGGCTGTATTAGGAAACATAGCAGCGGGAACCCTGCTCCGGGGCTCACATTCACGTCAGGGCAAACAGACAAAGACGCTGGACAGCACAAGTGCGTAACTACGTGGTACAGGGGGTTATAAGGAGGGAAAAGGGGAGCCGGATGAGAGAGTTGAGAGTGCCCGGTGTGGTGGGGAAAGCTGCAGGGTGAAATATGGCATCAAGGAAATCTCAGGGAAGGTGAGGACTATGATGAGGTCAGAGGGGTTGATATAAGAACGATGCCCTGCAAATGACAGGCACCACGGGAGCGTGAGCCGTCATCTTCACCTGTAGCATTCAGCCTGGGGGAAGTAGGGAGACATAGAAGGGGCAGGTGCTGGCGAAGAGGCAGGGGCAGGAGGGGAGAAGGCGGAGGGGCGCTCCAGGCAAGGGTGTCAGGCCCGCCACCCCAGAGCACCATTACTCCCAGGACGCGGCTGCGTGCAGATCTGGAACCAGCCTAGGGAGCAGTTGCAGATCACAACTGAGAACAAACGACAGTCTCTGCCTTAAAAATGGCCGACGGAATTGCGCCTCTGGAGATGGTACCTGCACAGGAGCAGCACAGCGAGTGGGCTGCACCGACCAGCGCCATCCAAACCCCGAACAGGTGGCGCTTGTCAGGCAGGACTTCCCAGCAGTCGGTTCCCACAGGTTTCCCCTGACGACCTGATTTGATGTGACTGTCTAGATTAGGTGTGAACTGGTGGCTCAGGCTTTTCTGCACAGAAAGGCCTGCAAGCAGCAGGGAGAGTTTCTGTTCTGTTTTTCCATGTCGTGTGGCTCTTCCTGAGAACAGCGGATGGAGTCAAACGCATGGGGAGTGGGGTGAGGTGGTAGCTGAGGTCAGAAGTCAAAGTCTCTTTGGCATTTGAATGACTGAAGCAGAACAAAACACACCAGGTACTTCAGCAGTTGCACCGTGTTGAGGGCAGGTGCTGGTTACCGGTCTGGGTGGGGGAAGCCAGCTGCCAATGTAACAAGAATGACTGGGTGTGCTTAGGTGAAGCAGAAAAATCTAGGTATCAAGGTGGCCTCGAGTCAGTGATGACCTCCTACAGCTCCAAGGAAGCCTGGCGTAGCCCTGGGGGGACAGAAAAGGCTAAGAAGTGACGATATTGCAGTACACCCCCTCCACAAGAAATGAGTGAGATGTGGTACAAACTGTTAGAATTGAATGAATCAATAGAATCAACGTTCATCCCGTCAATCAAGAAGAGTCAGATGAAATGAATTAGCAGGGCCAGCCCAAGAACCTTGTCTTCTGGGGCCTCGGGGTAGTTTTCATTTGCAGCAGCTGAGGCTGAAGCCCAGTCGCAAGGCCTTTGAGAGAACATGGTGCCGGACCCGTGTCTAAGGCAGGGGTTCTAAACCCTGCTTACATATCAGAGCCACCTGAGAAGGTTTTTTTTTTAAATTTTTATTTTTTTAATCTAAGGAATCCAAGTATCAGTGGGCAAGCCATGCTAGGTGTGCATGCCTTTGGGGCTCTGCAGGGGATAGCACTATGCAGGGATGGTTGAGAGCTGGTTTTGGGGTTGAGACACGTGGAAAATACTTGGGCTTTGGGTTGAGCCTGTGGTGCTCAATCCTGGCTGCATATTAGGACCACAAGGAGATGAGAAAACCATTCCCAGCCCTCACCCTAGGGCCCTTGAATGAGCATCTCAGGGGTCTAGGAGGCCTCCACAAAGACCTACTGATTGGCACGTATGTGTTTTTCTAGGAGAGAACTTACAGCCGCAGGCAGGAGCATGTCTTAGTGTGCTTGGGCTGCCATAAGTACCACAGACTGGGAGGCTTCAACAACAGAAATGTATTATCTCACAGTTCTGGAAGCTAGAAGCCCGGGAGCAAGCCATCGGCAGAGTTGGTTTCCTCTGGGGCCTCTATCCTTGCCTTGTAGATGGCTGTCTTCTCTCTCTGTCCTCACATGGTCTTCCCTCTGTGTGTGTCCATGTCCTCATCTCCCCTTCTCATAAGGACACAGGTCATATTAGATCAGGGCTCACTCTCATGGCCTCATTTTAACTTAATCATCTCTTTAAAGATTCTGTCTCCAAATAATGGTCACATTCTGAGGTCCTGGGGTTGAGGACTTCAACATATACATTGTGGCCATTGGGGGAGTTAGGACATGATTCAGCCTATATTGGTGCATTTTGCACTTGGATCATGTAGATATTTTCCATGGAGCTTAGAATCCATTTCTTGTCTTTTTTTGTAGACATGAATGGACTTATTCTGGGCTAAATAGTGACAGAGAATATTGAGACAATGAAAAATCTGGTTAGATGGCACTTAACGATCAGTTAATAATAATCACCTTTCACCCTTTGCAAAATGATATTTCAGGGTATGCAGAAGCGAGCGCCCCAGTCCGAGATGGCTCCTGCCAGCGTGAGCCTGAGGGCCACCATCCTCTGCCTCCTGGCCTGGGCTGGCCTGGCCGCAGGTGACCGGGTGTACATACACCCCTTCCACCTCGTCATCCACAATGAGAGCACCTGTGAGCAGCTGGCAAAGGCCAATGCTGGGAAGGCCAAAGATGCCACCTTCACACCTGTTCCGATACAGGCCAAGACGTCCCCTGTGGATGAAAAGGCCCTGCAGGACCAGCTAGTGCTGGTCGCCGCAAAACTCGACACCGAGGACAAGTTGAGGGCCGCGATGGTCGGGATGCTGGCCAACTTCTTGGGCTTCCGTATATATGGCATGCACAGTGAGCTATGGGGCGTGGTCCATGGGGCCACCATCCTCTCCCCAACGGCTGTCTTTGGCACCCTGGCCTCTCTCTACCTGGGAGCCTTGGACCACACAGCCGACAGGCTACAGGCAATCCTGGGCGTCCCTTGGAAGGACGAGAACTGCACCTCCCGGCTGGATGCGCACAAGGTCCTCTCTGCCCTGCAGGCTGTACAGGGCCTGCTGGTGGCCCAGGGCAGGGCTGACGGCCAGTCCCAGCTGCTGTTGTCCACAGTGGTGGGCCTATTCACAGCCCCAGATCTGCACCTGAAGCAGCCGTTTGTGCAGGGCCTGGCTCTCTATGCCCCTGTGGTCCTCCCACGCTCTCTGGACTTCATAGACCTGGAAGTCGCTGCTGAGAAGATTGACAGGTTCATGCAGGCTGTGACAGGATGGAAGATTAGCAGTCCCCTGACGGGAGCCAGTGCGGACAGCACCCTGGTTTTCAACACCTACGTCCATTTCCAAGGTAAGGCAAACCCCTCTGCCGGCTCTGCCCTAGGACTTAGTTTCCAATGCATAGCTGAGCTCAGCAGGTCAGGCCTTGGAGATGGGCAGGGGCAGCCCTGCGGACATACCTGGTGGCCACCCTCGAGGAGTGGGGAAGTGGCTGCTCCGCTGGGTCCCTGGATGGATGTCCACCTCCCGGACCTGCTGCCCTACTATGTGCACGACTACATCCTTTTTCTTACATCATTTAATCCCCTTATGATGTGATGCAGAGGTATTTGTGCCTTTGTTTACCGGTAAAGAAATAGAGACTTGGAGAAACAAAGTGCCTTGCTCAAGATGGCACAGCCACCAGTGGGTGTCCTGGGATTTCAACCCACATCTCCTGGCCCCACAGCCCAGTTCTACGCTCAGAGGGTACGGGTTCTTGTCTCTGGAGATGGTCAGGAGCTGGGGTCCCTGGCCTATGCAGAAATAAGCAATTGGCTTGCTTAAATCCCTTTCATGTTAGGAGGGGCATTACTGAAAACCCGTACTACAAAGATCGTTGGTTTTTTTTTTTTTTTTTAATTGAGACAGGGTCTCGCTCTGTCCCCCAGGCTGAAGTGCAGTGGCGCAATCATTGTTCACTGTATCCTTGAACTCCTGGCTGCAAGCGATCCTCCCACCTCAGCCTTCCAAAGTGTTGGGATTACAGGCATGAGCCACTGCACCCAGCCAAAGATTGCTTAAAGCATTCTTTTAACAAATATTCATTGAGGATTTGCTACTTGTAAGACTTTAAGCCTGGCATCTCAGAGGAGGCCAGAGGAGGGTTGTAGAGGCCCTGACTCCAGGCTTTTAAAGGTCAATGGGCAAACGCCTAGGATATGGAGCTGCAGGGAAACGTGCTGTACAAGGTACTCAGGGAGGGCTCGGAGCCCTCAGAGGACAGAGGTCACTGGGGAGTGGAGAACAGGCCTCACCTGGCAGTGAGGGGAACGGGGCTGGTGAAGCCAGGAGCAAGCATGATGGGCCCAGCCTGCAGAGTTTGGGGCAAGGAACGAGGATGGGGTGTTTGGCTTGGCATGAGTGTTGAACCAGAAAATGGGCCTGGGGAGGGCAGAGCTGGAGACACTTCGAATGCCATGCCAGGTAGGTGTGGGAATGGGGACGCATTCGTTCAGAGGTCATCCCGGAAGCCTGCCGTGTGTGGACTGGAGGCAGGGAGGGTTGTTTGAAGGTTACGCAAGAGTCCAGGCACACAGTCACGGGAACACGCACTCAGGGAGCAGCTCGGCGAATCCATGGGTGGGGTGGGGCTGAGGGGTGTGTCTGAGAGACATTGATGAGGCTCCGTCAAGATGTGTAACCTCGTGAGGGACAGAGAGCCAGGTGGGCGGTGAAAGACAGGACTGTGGAGAAAGAGGTTCAGTGGCGCGTGGTGATTTTCTCACCATGACAACATCCTTGAGGTCTCTCCCTGCGGGTTCAGGGGAGGTGATAGATGGGGGATTGCTCAGCCCTGGCACTGACTGGTCACAGGGGCAGAGGCCAGCCTGAGGGTTGCCCGGTTGAGGGTGGCAGCACGCTGTGCAGGGCAGAGCGGGGACACGTGGGCTCAGCCTGCTGAACCTAGGAGGAGTGCTGGGAGGAGCGCTCACTGAGAAGGAGGGTCCTGCAGAAGGCAAAGGCAAGAAAGCCAGTGGCATCTGAAATGGGTCTCCCTTCGAAAGACAGCCCATCCACCTCACCCAGACCTCAGAGCCAGACCATGAGGAAGAGGAGAAAGAAGAAAAAAACCAATGACATCAGGACTCAAAGGAAGCCCGGCATCCTCCCTGGCCTCCACCACATGCTGCCCTGACCCTGCCCCACTTCCTAACCTTTGCTGGTCTCAGTTTCCATGAAAGGAGACAGCCCCTTCCTGCCCACATGGCCTGTCCAGTGAGGAGATCGGGGGCTGTCTCGGGACCTCTAGATTCCCCTTTAGCAATGATGTTCTATGTACATGACCTCAGCAGGCAGCTAGATGTGTCCCACTAGAGAGGACCTGAGGATCTGGGGCCCGATGGGCTCCAGGGCACCCTTTGTCCAGCACCTGCTGTGCTGCTGAGCATGGGACGCTGGCCCTGGCAGTTTCCACAATGCCAGCTGACTTGAGCTCGAGAGATTTACCTAGCCTTCGGATGAGAATGGTGAGCTGTGTGTGTGTCAGACGAACAGAGGGAAGAGGGCAGCCACTCTCATGTCAAATTCCAACATCTTTTGGGAAGCAGGTTCCTTTTTTTGGTTTAGTTTGTTGGAAGAAAATAATTGTCCCTTTCCTCCCTCTAAACTAAAAGCCTTGCTAGCCTGGGTGGGCGGCAGCGAGGTCCCTGTAGGGAATGTGCAAGGAGGATCCTGCAGTTTCCCGCTCACATGCCCTCCAGAGACTGAGTGCTCCGAGGACTGAGGACGAGGAATATGCCAGGTCTGCCACTGCCTTCTCACAAGACCCAGACCCAGGGGAGGCACAGCCATGCCCAGCTCCCACCTGCCAGTTCTGTCCTCCCAGCTTCCCTACTTCCCTGCTGGAAGCTCCAATTCAGTACAAAGGGAGACCCCACTGTTTCTGAACCATCTCTACTCAGACTCCCAAGTGTCACGTGCCCAGAGGACTGCTCTGTGACAAACTCATATACAATTTCACCCTCTTCTCCTAAAAACTACCACAAAATGGGCCTTTCAAGGTGAGTGGGAGGACAGCCGAGGGCATCCTGTGATGCACTAGTGTAAGGTCGAGGCAGAGGGCGGGCTGCCGTCATGGAGAGACCCCGGGTAACTGCTTCACACACAAGTTTGTGTCCTTCTCCCACGCCGGGCTCTCCCGAGTTCTCTGTCTTCTCCACGGCCCTGTGAGCGGGGCAGGGGGTGGGGAGAACAGAGGGCTCACCCCTGCCCCCAGGGCCCAGTGTGCAAATCCATTCTTGTGAGTCTCCTCAGTAGCAAGGGCTGCTGAAGAATGGAGCCCTCGTTCCCGGAGCCTGCGTGGCCAGCTCTGTATTCCGTGACTGTGATGGGGGAGGGTGGGGGCCACAGGACAGCCTGGCAGGCTCTGCCACTGCTGGGGCTGGACATGGATTAAAAAGTGAGCATGAGCAGGGGCCTCTAGGAGCAGTGGGATACTGCAGTGGTGGCTGCGCGTCATTCTACATGCATGCAAACCCACAGAATGTAAAACACCAGGACGGAGCCCCAAAGAAAACCATCAACTTTGGGTGCTGAGGACGTGTCAATGCAGGTTCATCAACTGCAATAAATGGGCCACTCTGGTGTGAGATGTTGATCACGGGGAAGGCTGTGTGTGGGAGGATAGGAGTTACATGGGAACTTTTTGTACTTTCTGCTCAATTTTGCTGTGAACGTAGTCACTCTAAAAAATAGTGTCTCTTAAAATTTTTAAAAAGTGAGTGTGTCAAATCACAGCCTCTGTGTCAGGACAGATGTAGGTTTGAGTTGACCTGGCAGGTACCAGTGGCATATGTCCCTTAAGATGACAGACGCAAACCTCCGGTTCAGTGCCTGGCATGTTATATGTCTTCAGCAGGTGGCAGTTAGGGCTGCCTCAGTGAACTCAAATGGCTGCATTTTGCAGGAAGATTTGAGCTACACTTGGGGTCCTGTGGCCAGGAGAATACAGAGTGGCCTGGGGCGGGACAGGGAAGGAGGCTGTGTCAGGGAGAGGGGCAGGATCTGGGCCTTCAGTGTCTGCCAGCCCTCGTCCCTGCCCCTGTCCCGGCTGACTCTTCCCTCCCCGTCTCCTGTCTGGATTTCAGGGAAGATGAAGGACTTCTCCCTGCTGGCTGAGCCCCAGGAGTTCTGGGTGGACAACAGCACCTCAGTGTCTGTCCCCATGCTGTCTGGCGTGGGCACCTTCCAGCACTGGAGCGACGCCCAGGACAACTTCTCAGTGACTCAAGTGCCCTTTACTGAGAGCGCCTGCTTGCTGCTGATTCAGCCTCACTACGCCTCTGACCTGGACAAGGTGGAGGGTCTCACTTTCCAGCAAAACTCCCTCAACTGGATGAAGAAACTGTCTCCCCGGTAGGAGCCTCCTGGTCTCCCCTGGAATGTGGGAGCCGAGCTGTCCTTCTGCCCCCACTGGGGGTGGGGTGGGGTGGGGAGTAGACACACATGAACTGAGCCTTGGGTGCAGAGCAGGGCAGGGCTGCAGTGGCATGGGGCTGGGCAGGCGGCCTGTGTGTCTATCCACCAGCTCTCCATCCACCCAGCACCCAGCTCTCCAGTTAGTGTCTGTCTTTCAGGTGCAGGCAAGGTAAAGGAGGGGAGGAAGAATGCTTTTTCTATGCTTATATTTGCTTGGTGGTTTTGGAGGGAAAGAATACATTGCAATCCGCCCTCTGAGAGAGGAACATTTTGGCCCCACACCTGACACACAGCACATCTGTGGCATCCAAGAGCTTCTTGGAACTGACTTGCCAGGAGGGTTTGGACTCCATGTGAGCGGGGGTGGAGCCTTCTCAGGGAGCATGCCTTGACTCCAGAACGTCCTTGCTGGCGGCTGGCGGCTGGGCGGGGACAGGTGTCGTTAGCACCTCTTTCCTGCTGCAATTCCCTTCCATAGAGCCTTGGATTCAACCTACACATCCCCCCAGATCATCAAGGCCTGGAAATCTGATCCCAGAGGCAGGCATTGAGTGACACGATGGCTTCTTGACATCAGCTCTGGGTGCTTTTTATGTTTTAAAAATTATGGTGATAAAATATACATAACAAAATTTGCCATCGTAACCATTTTCGAGTGCACAGTTCAGTAGCACTAGGCACATTCACATTGTTGTGCAGCCATCACCGCCATCCATCTCCATTTACCTTCTCATCTTCCCAGACCGAAGCTCTGCCCTGCTGAAACACTAACTCTCCATTTTCCCTTCCCCTGGGCTCCTGGCAAGCACCACAATGTCCTCGAGGTTTACCCATGTTGTAGCACGTGTCAGAATTTCCTTCCTTTTGAAGGCTGAATAATATTCCCTTGCATGTGGTTACCACCTTTTGTCTATCCACTCGTCCATCGATGGACATGTGGGTTGCTTTCACCTTTGAGCTGCTGTGACTAGTGCAGTGTACATTGTAAACATGGATGTACTGTCAGCTCTTATAAGTGCTTGATATATCACTGGAAATGTCCATGGGCTCTGAAGGATGCCAGAAGATGGAAGAGGCTCTTACAAAGATCAATTGAGTTGACATAGCAACGTGTCCAGCACGAGTTGACACTGTACCCTCCTGTCTCCCTCCTTTTCATGGGTGTCTTGTCATCAAGAACACTGCTGTTGCAGTAGTAAGACACAGTGCATTATTTAGAGAATAGCATTTTAAAATTACCCAAGTAACACACCTTCAGTGCAGCCAATCTAAAAACAGAATGCACCAAAGGACAACCATTCCTAGGTCCTCATCGGTAAATGTCATAGTATTTCAAATGACATGAACGTTTTTTATTGTAGGTTTTGCTGAAATTTTCCCCAAGGGGGAGGATGACCTAGTTGGGTGGGAGGGGGGCAAACATCCCTGTCGTCAGGGTTGGGTACAACGAGCATATGCCCGCCTGGCCTCTGGGAGAGCCCTCTCTGTGTGGCCTGGAGCCTTCCTAACTGTGCCTCATCTCCCCAGGGCCATCCACCTGACCATGCCCCGACTGGTGCTGCGAGGATCTTATGACCTGCAGGACCTGCTTGCCCAGGCTGAGCTGCCCGCCATTCTGGGCACCGAGCTGAACCTGCAAAAATTGAGCAATGACAACCTCAGGGTGGGGAAGGTATGCGTGAGCGTGTGTCTGTGCCTGACCTGGGTTCCGAGTGTTCACAGGGTGGGGGGCATGGATGGAAGGGACACAGAGGAGGCTGTGGGTGGGGCCAGCAGGGCAAGAGGGAGAGGAGAGTAGGGCCAAAGGTGGGAGAGAAGTGGCCAGAGCATTGTGAGGCTTTCCAGGTGCACAGCAGCAAATCCCTCCCCTGCTCCGCCTCCTCCTGCTGGGGGTGTGTTCCATGGTCCTGCTCCGCCTCCTCCTGCTGGGGGTGTGTTCCATGGTCCTGCTCCGCCTCCTCCTGCTGGGGGTATGTTCATGGCCCTGCTCCGCCTCCTTCTGCTGGGAGTGTGTTCATGGTCCTGCTCCTCCTCCTCCTGCTGGGGGTGTGTTCATGGTCCTGCTCCTCCTCCTCCTGCTGGGGGTGTGTTCCATGGCCCTGCTCTGCCTCCTCCTGCTGGGGGTGTGTTCATGGTCCTGCTCCTCCTCCTCCTGCTGGGGGTGTGTTCCATGGTCTCGCCTGCTCCGCTTCCTCCTGCTGGGGGTGTGTTCCATGGTCCTGCTCCGCCTCCTCCTGCTGGCGGTGTGTTCCATGGTCCTGCTCGGCCTTGCCTTGCCTCAGGGTCCTCCAGGGATCCTACAGTGGAGTTGAAACCGGGATGAAGAGAGTGAGCACCCTTGGACCTGGTGCCCTGGGTCCAGCCCCTTCTTCAGGGAAATGCTGAGCGCAGACAGAATGTCCCCTGCCATGCGGCACCATGCACATCTGTGGCTACCAAGGATGCGCCTGGATGCTCTGGGCCCTGTGCTCCGTGCTGGGGAGAAAGTGGGAGTTCCTACGGGGGCCAGTGGGATGAGCCCTCTGTGCTAAGTTAGCTAAGTCCTGGCAATGGTGGGCCATGGCAAGGGAGCCAGGAATTCTGCCCAGAACAGCCGGGCGGAACGTGAAGATGGGAGGACTTAAGGGGCGTGGTAGGGAGGAGCCGGTACGTGAGTTTGGCCACTGTGGCCGAGTAAGGGTCATCTACACAGACACACCCTTGCCTACACTGAGGAGCAGGCATACACTGTGCATCCTCCTGGCAGACTGGACAATGTCTCCCTCCGGGAGACATCACAGAGGTCCTGAGCCCTCCCCGGCCCTCTAGCCCTCCGCACCCTGGGTCACCCAGTGTGCCCTCAGAATGATCCTGATGTCTGCCGCTTTGCAGGTGCTGAACAGCATTTTTTTTGAACTCGAAGCGGATGAGAGAGAGCCCACAGAGTCTACCCGACAGCTGAACAGGCCTGAGTTCTTGGAGGTGACCCTGGACCGCCCATTCCTGTTTGCTGTGTATGATCAAAGTGCCACTGCCCTGCACTTCCTGGGCCGTGTGGCCAACCCGCTGAGCCCAGCATGAGGTCAGGGCCCCAGAACACAGCGCCTGGCAAGGCCTCTGCCCCTGGCCTTTGAGGCGAAGGCCAGCAGCAGATAGTAACTCTGGACAAACCAGCGATTTGTCACCCCCAGTCTCCCACCTTTTCTTCTAATGAGTCAACTTCGAGCTGGAAAGCAGTCGTTTCTCCTTGGTCTAAGTGGTGCTGCGTGGAGTGAGCAGTAAGAAACCTGTGGCAGCACAAATGCGCCTCCCAGGTTGCTGGGTTTATTTTAGAGAATGGGGGTGGGGAGGCAAGAACCAGTGTTTAGCGCGGGACCACCGTTCCAAAAAGAATTCCAACCGACCAGCTTGTTTGTGAAACAAAAAAGTGTTCCCTTTTCAAGTTGAGAACAAAAATTGGGTTTTAAAATTAAAGTATACATTTTTGCATTGCCTTCGGTTTGTATTTAGTGTCTTGAATGTAAGAACATGACCTCCGTGTAGTGTCTACAGTAGCTTAGTTTTTTCCACAGATGCTTGTGATTTTTTTGAATAACACGTGAAAGATGCAAGCATCTGAATTTCTGTTTGAATGTGGAAACCATAGCTGGTTATTTCTCCTTTGTGTTAGTAATAAACGTCTTGCAACAATAAGCCTCCCAAAATTCTATCTTTCATTTAGCAGCCAAACAGATGTATACAATTTAGCAGATAGACTGTGCAAACCAAAGTGCTTTCCTGGACTTTGGATGGAATTTCCACTGGAAGCCTGAGCCAGTACTTAGCAGTCCTTTGAAGTTTTAGGTGATACTTTTCTCTGGACACTTCCATTGGTAAGCAGTGGTGGCCATCTGTGTGATGGACAGGGGGTGGGAAGAGGGTGACAGGGAAGGCCCCAAACCCCACATGGCACCTGGGAAAGGAACCAGGCAGACAGGACTTCTTCCATCCTGGTGACACAGGGCCAGACTGCTGTTGGTATTGTGCTCCGGGAGTGGAAGGCAGAGAAATAAATCTTCACAAATAAATATTTGCAATTTTCCCCCATCTGTTGAGTGCCTCCGCCAGCTCCTCCTCGATGGGATTAGGCCCACAATTTGGAATCTTAGGGAGAGCCAAGGAGGTGGTAGGCACCCAGCAGGCCCGTGGCCGTCAGCTGATAGCAATGGTGATCCTGTCCTACCTATGTGTGTATGGCACTCGATCTTCCTCCCTTCCATACATATTGCAATAAATAAGCAAGCCGTACAATGTGTTAGCTATTGATCAGAATGAAAGTGAAATCTGCCACGGGGATTACAAATCTTGGCTTCTCCCCTCACATTTCCGAGAGTCTTCCCCTGATTTTGAACACATCTCCCTAGCTCGATGTCAAGATGAGGGGATTCTGTCGGTGACAGCAGTGCCCTTAGTTGCTTCGTTGTAACTCCCCGTCACCAGTTTTATTCAGTTACCCTCCAGTCCCACTCTCAGCGCTTCCTGGCTTGTTCTGCCCTCAAAGTGGGTAGAGCTGGCACACATGGACTCTCCGAAACAGCTGCAGGACGCCAAGTTTCTCGGGAGAACTGGAAGTACACAGAGCAGAAGTGCCTTAAGGTCTCACTATTCAAAGTGTGGTGCTTGGACCTGCAGTGGCAGCAGCTGCCCTGGGAGCTTGTTAGAAGGCAGCTTCTCACGCCCCTCCTGGACCTACAGAGTCAGAATCTGCAATTTTACGGGAGGTCCAGGCTTGGAAGTTGCTTGTAATGACCTGAGACAGCGCAGCCAAGTGCTGGAAAAATAGAGCATTTAAGTTTGTGACTTTATTTTAAAAGGCAGCTGGCAGTCGACGAACCAAATTTCTTCTACTTAGTGGCGGCTTCGGCTTCTGGAAGTCGCTAGGAGTATGAAGTTGCCAACCAGCACTGTTCTCCCGCTGTTCTCTGTGCACTTGTAAATGGGAAGCTGGGTCAGGATAGATCTCTCAGCTATTAGAAAGATACAAAATACTAACATTTTGCAGGTTACTTAACACACACACACACAAAATTCATTCCACAGGTCAGTTTCTCTGAAACTTTTTTTCACTAAATTCTAAGTGTTCCTGGAGTTGCAAGTGCCTGTCTCCTAGACGAGGCAATTACTCAGCAACTACAATCACTGTCAATGCGAGATTTCAGCTGCGCATGAGACCATGGTCAGGGGATGCTTTGAACAGTCTCTGAGGAAATTAGTTTGAAAAATGGAAAGATTTTTTTTACGCACTTGGCAGTAAAACCTGATGGGGACAGACATCAGGCTGTTTAAGATCCTCAGAAGAAAAAATTGATAGTGTGAATATTCCTCAATTTGCTGCACAAAGATGTACGTGTGATTATAAGGTGTTATTCCGGAAGCCCCTGGGGGTGTTATGGGATATACACTATATGGGCCACTTTACCTTCCTAAAATCTGAAAAATTCCAACTACTGAAACATGGACTGAAGGTTTTGAATCGTGTATGGTGAATTTGAATACCATTCCATGTGATTTTTTTTTCTAGCAGACTTTAGTTTTTTAGAGCAGTTTTAAGCCCACACCAAAATGGACAGGAAGACACAGCAATTTCCCATATACCCTCTACTCCCCTCCAGTCTCCCCACCTATTGACATCCCCCACCCAGAGTGGTCCATTTCTTACAACCCACGAACCTACACTGACACATCATTATTACTCAACGTCCATAGTTTACATTAGGGTTGGCTCTTGGTGTTGTACATTCTCTGGGTTTAGACAATTTTCAGGAGTTTCACTGCCCTGAAAATCCTCTGTGTCCCTCCTATTCATCCCTCCTTCCCTCCTAACCACTGGTAACCACCGATCCTGTTCCCATCTTCTCCATAGCTTTGCCTTTCCCACCCAGGATGTCATACAGTGGAATCATTCAGTATGTGGCTGTTCCAGACTAGCTTCTTTCACTTTAGTAATATGCATTTAAGGTTCCTCCATGTCTTTTCATGATAGTTCATTTCTTTTTTATTGCTAAATAATATGCCACTGTCTTGATGTGTCACAGTTTATTTATTCACCTACTGAAGGACATCTCGGTTGTTTCCAAGTTTGGGCAATTGTGAATAAAGCTGCTATAGACACCCATGTGTGGGTTTTTGTGTAGACATGTTTACCCCACACAATTTTTAAAGTTGCACAATGATCAGAGATGTTCTGAGTGACTCTGATGGACCCATAAACATGTCAGTGACTGTATCACTTCAAGAGAGTAGGGGTCTCAGGGCCCACACCCCTGAACTTGAGTAGTCTCATTCTTCTGTTAAGTTAGCTGGATCCAGGCGAGGAGTTTATGACTAAGTCCTCAAAAGCCAACACAACAGAAACAAAAATTGACAACCGGTACTAAGTAAACTGAAGAGCTTCTGCACAGCAAAAGAAACTACCAACAGAGGAAACAGATGAACTAAAGAACGGGAGAAAATATTAGTAACTATGCATCCAACAAAGGTCTAAGATCTAGAATCCACAAGGAACTTAAACAAATCAACAAAACAACCCCATTAAAAAGTGGGCAAAGGACATGAATAGACACCTCTCAAAAGAAGACACACAAGCGGCCAACAAATATGAAAAAATGTTCAACATCACTAATGATCAGAGAGAGGAAAACCAAAACCACAATGAGATACCATCTCACACCAGTCAGAATGGCTACTATTAAAAAATAGAAAGAACAGAAGATGCTGGTGAGGCTGAGGAGAAAAGGGAACACACACACACAGTTGCTGGGATTGTAAATTAGTTCAGCCCCTGTAGAAAGCAGTTTGGAGATTTCTCAAAGAACAAAAAAATAGCATTACCATTGACCCAGCAATCCCATTACTGCATATACACCCTGAGGAGAATAAACCATTCTACCAAAAAGACACATGCACTGATGTTTACCACAGCACTCCTCACAATAGCAAAGACATGGAATCAATGTAGGTGTCTGTCAGTGGTGGACTGGATAAAGAAAATGTACATATACACCATGGAATACTATGCAGCTATAAAAAAGAATGAAATCATGTCATTTGCAGCAACATGGATACAGCCAGAGGCCATTACCCTAAATGAATTAATGCAGGAACAGAAAACCGAACACCACGTGTTCTCACTTATAAGGGGGAGCTAAACACTAGGTACACATTGGGCCATAAATATGGGAACAACAGATCCTGGAGACTCTAAAAAGGGGAGGAAAAGAGAAGGTCAAGGGTTGGAAAACTATCTACTCACTACTATGTTCACTATTTGGGTGACGAGTTCCATTGAAGCCCAAATCTCAGCATCACACAATATATTCATGTAACAGACCTGCACATGTACACCCTGCAGCTAAAATTAAAAACAGGAAGTTAGGTGGAGAGAGGGTCATCCTTCAAGGCTTGTGTCTATGTTTTGTGAGGTGGCTTCAGGGCAGCCCTTTACATCAGGTAAATTTGGCTCCACTGCTGGGGCCATACCCCCATCCTCCACGTCTTTCCACTCCGGACACACTTTTCTCAGGCCCGTTTTGCTCTGGGGCTTTTTTCTACCTGCTCCTTTCTGGGGATTCCTTCCTTGGCCTTGACAACCTCTTTATACAGGCAGGCTGGTCAATACCCAGCTCCAAAAACAAAGTGACGCTCCAGAGACCTCGCTCCTCTCCATTACTCTGCACCCCCAGTTCCAGCCTCTTCAGTGTCCCCAAACTCCACACTGCCTCCTCTCAGGGAGTCGGCTGGGCTCTGAATGTTCCTGTGCATCCAGAGACCCCCCATGCGAGACCCTGGGCCATTGCAGGACCCCCGACCTGCCCCTTCTCTCTAGGACCCTGCACTGCTGGCATCCAACACTGGGCGGCGCTGTTTCACACAGTGTCGATTTTCAGTTGTTTAGCATAGGAGGGTCAATCAGGTCCCAACATGCCATCAAGCTGGATTACACAAGAGTTAAACAGTCAGAATGCCACTCTGAAGATTAATAATCCCCCCCCTTTTTTTTTTTGAGATGGAATCTTGCTCTGTTGTCCAGACTGGAGTGCAATGGTGAGATCTCTGCTCACTGCAATCTCCACCTACCGGATTCAACCGATCCTCCTGCCTCAGCCTCCCAAGTAGCTGGGAATACAAGTGCCCGCCACCATGCCCAGCTAATTTTTGTATTTTTAGTAGAGACAGGGTTTTGCCATATTGGCCAGGCTGGTCTCGGAACTCCTGACCTGAGGTAATCTGCCCGCCTTGGCCTTCCAAAGTGCTGGGATTACAGGTATGAGCCACCACGCCCGGCCAATAATATATTTTAGTTCAAGATTAGTGAGAGCTAAGGAAAAATGAGAATGCTGATTGCTCTGAAATTCAGTCTCCACACGAAAACCAGCTGAGGGTTGAGTGGAAAATGGAGAAACTTTCACAATCAAATGAAGGTAACCCTTTCTTCACTGAACAATTCACAGATGTTCACAGCCATCCAACACGAAGCTTAGTGGCTGATCAAAAGTAGCAGGATATTTTCAGGGCAAACACTGAGACTCACAGGCAGCACCAGGACTGTTTGCACATCTCAAAAGACAAGCAGAGTTTCCCTGAGGGCGCTGAGGCTGAGGTCTTACATGGAGAGAGGATTGCCAACTGGCAAAGGCCTGCTTTTCACAAACTGC